GGGGGGAGAGGGAGAGGCGGCCTTCTATTTCCACAGCTGTCATTGCAGCACTTCTCGCCACAACCAGGCATCCAAATACCTCCTAGCTCCTGCACGTCTCCTGTTAAATTGTCAGTCCCAGGCAGGAGCAGACACCTCTTCATGCTTGTGCTTTTTGCTCCCACCCTGGAAAGTCTGGAATTGGTTCAGTCTAACACAGCTCTCCACCCTTTATTTGCTCAGAAAGAATTCCACACTCGTCATTGCAGCACTTCTCGCCACAACCAGGCATCCAAATACCTCCTAGCTCCTGCACGTCTCCTGTTAAATTGTCAGTCCCAGGCAGGAGCAGACACCTCTTCATGCTTGTGCTTTTTGCTCCCACCCTGGAAAGTCTGGAATTGGTTCAGTCTAACACAGCTCTCCACCCTTTATTTGCTCAGAAAGAATTCCACACTCTCCTAAGTGCTACAGCACACACTCAGCCAGCTGAGCTCTGGGCCTGCTCAAAACAGGGACATCAGAAGGAGAGACCCTGGGGGAAATCCAGGGTTCACGGCAGGCCAGTCAGAGCCGATAGCCTCAGAGGTACATGCAGAGGGGAAAAGGCAAAAGGGGGTATGTCTACACTTGCACCCTCCTTCGAGAGAGGGATGCAAATGAAGACATTCGAAATTGCAAATGAAGCCGGGATTTAAATATCCCACGCTTCATTTGCATATTCGCATTGTGGCGCCATTTTGAAATAACAGACACTGTTAAGACGCAGTTATTTCGAGAGAAAACCCTTCTCTCGATATAACCCTTATTCCTCATACCATGGGGTTTACCAGTTATGTCAAGAGAAGGGTTTTCTCTCAAAATAACCGCGTCTTAACAGTGTCTGTTATTTCAAAATGGCGCCACAATGCGAATATGCAAATGAAGCGTGGGATATTTAAATCCCGGCTTCATTTGCAATTTCGAATGTCTTCATTTGCATCCCTCTCTCAAAAGAGGGTGCAAGTGTAGACATACCCAGGTTGTGGACAGAGTCTTGAGCCATCAGGGAGTTAGCAGAAAGCCTGCACTGAATTGATCCCCAGGTCTAAAACCAGCAGGATCCCCCAGGAGGTCACAGCAGTGCAATCTGTTTACAAGGGACTCCAAGGGAACAAACTGGAATCCCGAGCACAGACATTGTGTCAGAACCACACAGCTCCACAGTCCTGTGCTCTGGCAGCCTGTTCAGCAGTCAGATTCTCTGTTAAAAAACCCAGGGCCGAATAGGTAATTGACATCAAGGCTGTTCATAAGGCTTGAAGTCTGTAGAGACTCATATTTGCCAAGCTTGAGAATCTGGAGTTTCCATCCATGACGAACTGAACCATGCAGCATGGTCAATTGCTGTTCATACCAAAGCAACCAGGGCAGGGAAATCCCTCTCCAAACAGAGCATTCTGCGATTCCATACAGCCGGCCGTGGCAGGACCGCTCAGCTCCTCACTGCCTTGTCAGACACTTCAGAGGCGGGCATTATCCCCACCACGCATACCGGGAAACAGCAGCAGAGACAGGCGGATGTGCTGCAGTGGGGCCGGCTCATGGCCAGCACACTGCCAAGTCGCTGGCAGAGACAGCAAAGGAACATAGGAACACGCTGGCAGCCCTGTCCAGCTCCAAGACACCACTCAGGCGATGTCTACACTGAGTTTTCTCGGTAAAAAATATGCTAATGAGGGACTCATTTGCATGAGTTGCAATCTCATTTCTGCCGATCCGTTTTGTGCTGGGTTTTTGCACAAAAACAAGCAGTGTGGACGTTTTCTTTTGGCGCAAAAACCCCTTTTCCCACAAGATCTGTAAATCTTGTGGGAAAGGGGGGTTTTGCGCCAAAAGAAAACGTCCACACTGCTTGTTTTTGCACAAAAACAGACTGGCAGAAAATATGCAAATGAGATCGTGACTCATGCAAATGAGTCCCTCGTGAGCATATTTGTTGCGAAGAAAACTTGTAGTGTAGACACCCTCCTACAGGAGGAGACTGAGGCTAACTGGTAAGCCTAACCCTTAACAGGTGGGAATTTCCGGTTATGGTTAACTGGTGGAGCTGGAGCAAACCCCCGCCTACGTTGGGCAAGGGGCTGCTCCTGCCCTGTGAGGCCTGTCTCGGGGAGGGGGGGGTGCTCCAGCCCAGCCAGAGCAGCCCCCATCTATGGCTACTTGCATCCCTACCCTCCCGTGGAAGTATCAAGGCTGGGTTTCCGACTGACAGACACATGCAGGTGCGAAATGAACAGCACACATGGACTTGCCTGAACAGGTCTGTTCCCCAGGAAGTTTAAATCCATGTTCTCCCCGAAGAGGTAACCCTCAGGATGCGGCGTATCGAACTTTTCGCCTCCCATGAAAAAGTGACTTGCAAAGTAGTTCCCTGGAAAGACACAAAACGAACACATTCGGGGGGGTTCGTTCCTGGAGCGGGGCAGACACATGCAGCTCTTGGCGAGGGAGCACACCACACGGGCAAGGCTGGTTTTTAGGCGATGGCCACACACGGCAAAGCAACAGCTCCTGGCCACACTGCATCACACAGAGTCAGCGCCAACAGCACTGAGCAAGGAGACACCAGAACCCTACAGAAGACAAGTCACTGAAGGGCTTTTTTGTAATATGCTCTGTTCAAACAGGACTTATTGCAGGGACATTTTCTGTGCCAAACAGGCAAGCAGGTCAGGTGATCACACTAGGCCTCCAAGCCCTATAATCTATGCATTACAATGCTGCTAACCCTAGGGTAAGTTTCTTCCCCAAGGAGGGACGGGAACAGGTTCCTCACAACACTGCCAAATTCTGGGAATTCTCTCCCACATGCCACACGCTCGTTTGCAAGGTCTGTCGCCTGCCTGGGAATGGACACGTTCCCTTTCACAACCCATGAACGGAGCTCCTCCTACAGCCAGAGGAGAGATGGTTTAGCAACACTCAGTTCTCCTCCCCTCCCCTAGGGAAAAATCATGTTAAGTCTTCCCTGTGGGCGCTAGCGGTGATCCACAGGGATGCTCGCCTTGATGAAAGAGATGGTTCTAACTACAGAACACACCCATCGGTACGAGATGTACCCCGAGACTGATCAAACAACAATCTCATTCAAGTTCAAGGGGGAGCGCAAAGTGTGGGTCTAAGTGGATCACTGAATTACACACAATGCTAAACTCAATCTCTACGCTTCCAGGAAAGAGCCCAGGAAGCAGCTACCTGCCAGGGAGCAATGGCCGCTCCCAACGAGAAAGGAAATGGAACGAATACAGCGTTGCTGTCTCAGCTCGGTGTAACAGACGAGAGTTCGGGGCCCTTCAAGAAAGCACTACCCAGAGCCGAGAAGGGTGAGGAGAGAAAGAGGAGGAATTCAATGGGTGGGTTTCTCCATCCGGCTAGCACTGCTGGCAAGTGGCTCTCTTCAACACAAGAGGGATTTCATGAAAGGTTTCTGCTTTTTCGTTTCTTCCTCTTTGCTCCAGGAAAGGCAATTTGTCTCACCCAGCACAGCTGGTACCACTTGAACAACAAGCTCAGCTACTGCTGAGCTCAGCTAATAAGCTCACAGGCCTCCAGATGTTTCTGGTTTAAAAACAAGCCTGCTGCCTGGATACACCAACCACAAGCTTTGCCCGATTCCTGAATCTAGCTGGTACCAAGACTGCTGCAGCAGCATGGCAGTACTGAGGTATCCCAAACCACAGAGCCCCAGGCAAGCAGGAGCAAAAGGAACAGCTAATCCGGTTACAAATCCAAGCCAGATTTTTGGGGCAATACACACACCCTGCCAAGGTGCACGGTGATATTTGTGCTTGCGCTGTGGCCGGTGAAAGCAGGATTGAGGAATCAATTTTACATTGTATGTAGGTCACACAGGATGATGTTTTGAGGCATCTGATCTGGCTAACTCCAAGGAGCTCAAACTATGGACCAGCCCGGCAGAGAGCTGCTCGTGAGTGAGGTTTGTCGGAGCTGGTGCCATCCCCACATGGGTCACATCTCCCACCACTAACGCAGCCCCAGCAGCCGCTGAACAGGGCACAGCGGCTGTGCTACGTGGGACAGAGCAGCATATCCATCTTGAACCCCGGGGGGAGGGGTTAGGAAGGTGGAACAGGCCATCGCAGCGTTTTCACTCTCCTGAAAGGGCTCTTAGGGTCTTTAATGTCCACAGACAATCAGGAACTCTGGGTGAGTTCTCATCTAGAAGACAGCCCACCTAGCAACACGGCACCCTCCCTCTGCGAGCTACAGCGTCTGTTCGGTACTCAGTCAAGAATCTCTCCCCTGCCCACAGAGCAGCAGACTCTGCTGGGCTGACACAGCCCTCTCCCCTCCTCCCTCCCCCCAATGTTGGGTGGGGAGCTACTCCAGCCAGGCTACCAGTTAACTGGTTAACCATGGACATCTCTACCTTGAAGGTGCACAGACAATGTCTCAGATTTCCAGAGAGGGCCACAAATCTCCACTCAAAAGATTTTAGGGGTCTGCAAATGACAAACAGTGGAAAACCACTGTCCTAGAGGCCTCTCACTCGTAAGTACTGCCAAGGCAAGACCTCTCTTAGTTTGCAAAGACATCTGACAATCACAGCCCGACCTCAGCAGGAGGTTGGCAGAACGATGAATGTGAATGAGGCATTCAGTGCTATGGAAAAGTCTATAAATAACCCTGGCCATACTGAAGGAAGGCTGCATATATAGAGAGAGGACCACAAGCTAAATATGAGTCAACTGTGTGACACTGTTGCAAAAAAAAGCAAACATGATTCTGGGATGCAGTAACAGGAGTGTTGTGAGCCAGACACGAGAAGGCATTCTTCCGCTCTACTCTGCGCTGATTAGGCCTCAGTTGGAGTCTTGTGTCCCAGTTCTGGGCACTGCATTTCAGGAAAACTGTGGAGAAATTGGAGAATGTCCAGAGAAGAGCAACAAGAATGATGAAAAGTCTAGAGCAGTGTTTCTCAAACTGTGCTCCGCAGAGCCCCAGGGCTCCACGAGACATCTCCAGGGGCTCGGTGATGTTGACAAACTGGAAACATCGATAGGTACAACACATACAATCAGTGGATCGCTGGGGCTCTGCATAAATTTTTACGCATGTAAAGAGTTCTGGAGCCCAAAAAGTTTGAGAACCACTGGTCTAGAGAACATGACCTAGGAAGGAAGACTGAAAGAACTGGGCTTGTTTAGTTTGGAAAGAAGACTGAGAAGGAACAGGATAGCTGTTTTCAGGTATCTAAAAGGATGTCACAAAGGGGAGAGAGAAAAATTGTTCTCTTTGGCCTCTAAGAATAGGACTAGAAGCAATGGGCTTAAACTGCAGCAAGGGAGGTTTAAGGTTGGACATTAGGAAAAACTTCCTGTCGGGGTGGTTAAACACTGGAATGAGTTACCTAGGGAGGTTGTGGAATCTCTATCTCTAGAGATATTTAAGAGTAGGTTAGACAGACACCTATCAGGGATGGTGACGGTACTTGGCCCTGCTGTGAGCGCAGAGGACTGGATCTGATGACCTCTCAAGGTCTCTTCCAGTTCTAGTGCTCTATGATTCTATGCTATCCTGTCCAAAGCTGGGGAGGGCTTCCAAGTCAACATGTGAATTCTTGCTCTACAGACGGCCCCTCTGCCCTAAAGCAGTAAGAGTCTGCCTCAAGCCAGAGGGGCATCGTCCAGTGGACAGCTAGTCCAGAACCACAAACGTTATTTCTTCCACTTCTCCTTGAGGGCAACCACTAGATATAAGGCTTGTCCTACACTACTTGGTTTTGTCCAGCGCACGCACGTTGCAGTGTGACTTTGGTCAGGAAAACGTTTGCCCAATTTCAGCAATAAGAAAAACTGATAGGAGGCAGTAGTGGGGAGGGTTGCCTGTAACCTCTAGGATTAATCAGTGAGCTACTCGTGGAAACGGCTAAACGTTCACATCCCTAGTTCTGACAGGTCACTTGCAGCTGCGTTTGCACCGATTCTTCACCCCATACATTGATAAGATCCAAACGCCCCAAGCAGGACAGTGTCCTGAGTAACAGCCACCCATATCCCTGAGAAGACGCCACAAGGAGCAATAAGCAATGAACCAAATACCAGAAAATGGATTTTAAAGTCCCTGGGGTTTATTGATGGGATGGGCGCATCAGTTCACCTGTTTATGTAGATGTAGAGCAGCGGAGTTCAACGCGTTGGCCAGAGTGGCTACTTGGGCATTGTGGGAAACATGCTGGAATTCACTGAATGTGAAAAAAAACTAATGTAGTACACACTGCATGATCACTGACAGTAAAGAGAGGGGGGAGAGAGAAAAATTCCTTGTGGGGCTGGAAGTTTTTTGTCACTGAAGCGGAGAGCTTGTTGCAACTTCTGTGGCTTTGCAATATGAACACTCTCCAGGTTGTGTTGCTCAAAAAGGTTTTTTGGCAACAAAACTTGCCAGAGTGGACAAATCCTTAGAGACATGTATAAATGGTAATTGGGGCCATTATGGTAGTTAGGAAAGAACTTTGAAGTCAGAGGTAATACCAATTGTATGTGTTTACTTATCATAGAATCATAGGACCGGAAGGGACCTCGAGAGGTCATTGAGTCCAGCCCCCCACCCTCAAGGCAGGACCAAGCTCCGTCTACGCCATCCCTGACAGATGTCTATCTAACCTGTTCTTAAATATCTCCAGAGAGGGAGATTCCACCACCTCCCTTGGCAATTTATTCCAATATTTGACCCCCCTGACAGTTAGGAATTTTTTCCTAATGTCCAATCTAAACCTCCCCTGCTGCACTTTAAGCCCATTACTTCTTGTCCTGTCCTCAGAAACCAAGAGGAACAAGTTTTCTCCTTCCTCCTTGTGACACCCTTTTAGATATTTGAAACCCGCTATCATGTCCCCCCTTAATCTTCTTTTTTCCAAACTAAACAAGCCCAGTTCATGAAGCCTGGCTTCATAGGTCATGTTCTCTAAACCTTTAATCATTCTTGTCGCTCTTCTCTGTACCCTTTCCAATTTCTCCACATCTTTCTTGAAATGTGGCACCCAGAACTGGACACAGTACTCCAGCTGAGGCCTAACTAGTGCAGAGTAGAGCGGCAGAATGACTTCACGAGTTTTGCTTACAACACACCTGTTGATACAACCTAGAATCATATTTGCTTTTTTTGCAACAGCATCACACTGTTGACTCATATTCAACTTGTGGTCCACTATGACCCCTAGATCCCTTTCTGCCATGCTCCTTCCTAGACAGTCGCTTCCCATCTTGTATGTATGGAACTGATTGTTCCTTCCTAAGTGGAGCACTTTGCATTTCTCTTTATTAAACCTCATCCTGTTTACCTCTGACCATTTCTCTAACTTGCTAAGGTCATTTTGAATTATGTCCCTATCCTCCAAAGAAGTTGCAACCCCACCCAGTTTGGTATCATCTTATATCTTGTTATGTCA